AAATGTTATCGTATATTTACAGAGTCTCTTAATATTAAAACTAGCCACAAATATACATGGAACACTACAAAAATATTCAAAAATAAATGGATAAAGATTAACCCAATGAGTTGTAATGAACATTTGCCAAAAAATGATCAAATCGAGACAGCCCTTAAGGATCTTTGTCCTGAATGGGTTCCTGGGGACCCTAATGAAAACCCGTCAGCTAGTGAGAATTCTTTTTTTGACGATCCCTTCACTTACACGGAATTTAATACAGCGCTTGACTCTAGAGGAAATAAATCCGCCCCGGGTATGGACGGAATTAACTATGAAGTTCTGCACAATTTACCCATTAAATATCACCTGTTATTACTAGACATTTTGAACGAAATGTATGCTAATGATATTTATCCCGAAAACTGGACCAACACCTACATTCACTTCGTTGAAAAGCCTAGTGGCAAAGGACTTCGTCCCCTTGCACTCACCTCGTGCATTTGCAAAGTCTTCGAACTTATGCTTTCTTATAGACTGCGATGGTGGTTTGAGAATAAAAAACTTATACCTAATAGTCAAACAGGGTTTCGTAAAGGTATGTCTTGCGCAGACAACCTTGCTACACTTAAGCTGGATGTAGAAAATGCCCTTAGTGGCGGCAAACAAGTACTCGCAGTCTTTTTAGACGTTAGCAATGCCTTTAATGACGTACACAGTCAAATACTCTTAGAAGTATTGGCAAATATTGGCTGCTCTAATAAAGTCTTAAAGTTCGCTAAATTCTTACGTATCATAGACAGATTTTTTCCGAAATCAATTTAACCTCCCCTAAACATTTGTATAAAGGGGTACCGCAAGGAAGCGTATTGAGTCCCTTATTCTATATTTTGTACGTATGCCGAATATTCGATGATCTTGGTCTTTATATTAAAATAGACTGGTCTTTATATTAAAATACGCTAGAGTATCACTAGAAAATGCGATTACATTGATCGTGGAAAGACTGAGATCGATTGGGGTCGATGTTTCCTTAGCAAAAACGAGTTTCCTGAATTTCAATAATGAAGGAATAATGCCTGGCGAATCTGAGATCGCCATATTAGACACAGTTATACCATCGAATGAATCGGTCAAATTCTTAGGAATATATTTTGATTACAAAATAACATTCGAAAAGCATTTGCGGTATGTACATGAGAAGGCTAACCGAGCTTTAAACATTGTAAAATTCCTGAGAGGTACGTGGTGGGGTGCTCATCCTTCTACGCTTATTACTTTCTACAAAAGTTTTGTGCGGTTAATAATTGATTATGGATCTTTTATTTACTATCCGACACAAAAAACCAAAAAAGATAAATTGGAAAGAATACAGTATTCTGCTATCCGAATGGCTCTAGGATTAAGAATGAGCACTTCTACCAACGTGCTCCTTGGAGAATCAAAATTAGACATGTTAGAACACCGAACTAAGATGTTATGCATGAATTTTCTTCTAAAAGCTATAAGTGTGGATCACGCAATTGTGTGTGTAACTATAAAAAAACATTTACCGAACATAATTCATGACCGCAGGAAAAAAATCAAAATACTAAATAAATGTATCTTGAGAGCAATCAGCATGGAGCACCTTATCGATTGTGATACTCTCCCTCCACTTTACAACTATCCTTATAATGTTATGAAAATGACAATTCCTACGAATATCGATATTGGAAAGAATTTGCAAAAAAGTAAAAATCCGAATGAAACGTTCAAAAAAATTTTTAACCACTCTGATTCATTAAAATTATTTACTGATGGCAGCAAAAGCGATGTTGGCCTATCTGTTGGAAGTACTTGCGTTTGTACCGAATTCAAAATCCTAATGACTAAAAGCATAAATTGTAAATCCTCTATTTATACAGCCGAGGCTATAGCTATATCGGATGCTATGGACATTGCATTACAAAACAACGGTCGTAACATCTACATCTTTACTGACTAAGTGTTATATTAGCCTTAAGCTACCCTAAAAATAAAGTTGGCGGAAATCGGTTTAAACCCTGGTTTTCTAGACTATCTTGTAGTCGCGAATTTATTGTAATAGTTTGCAGAAGCAGGAGCAATCACTATAGTTTAAACGAATCTCTTTACAAGATTAACGTGGTCAAGAGTCCAAATTGTGAGTGCTCCTGCGAGGTGCAGGACCTTAATCACGTCATATGGCAATGTACATAATATGAAGTGCAGAGAAAATGGTTGTTAAAATTCTTGGCTAAAAACAAACTGTTTCCTCCATTTGATATCAAATCGTTCCTAAGCTTGCCTGATATTAATGTAATGCGATTAATATTAAGATACACAAAAAAATGTAACATAAAATTGTAATATGCGAACATGGAATGTAGTTCACCTATATATCTAAGTAAATTAATTATTCAATATATTACAAATATTTTTGTAGCTAAATAATTCTGTAACAAGAGTTAATAAAGCTTATATTAAAAAAAAACATGGAATACTGCTAAGGTGTTGAAAAACAAATGGTTAAAAGTTAACTCCATTAGCCACGATAAATTAAAAAAAAACTGAAAAAATAGAAACCTCGTTGAATAACTTATGCCTAGAATGGATTGAAACTGATCCCAACGAGTTACATTCAACACATTCCTTGATGTCAGCAACGCATTCAATGAAGTACACAGATAAGTTGGAAAAGTTCCAGTACTCTGTCATTCGAACGGCTTTAGGGATGAGGATGAGCACGCTAACAAATACATTGTTATCGTAATTAAACACAGAACAAACAAAAATACTCTGAAAGAACTTTCTGTTAAAATCACTAAGTATTAAAAATGTTGTCTCTAGAAATACGATTAAAAAGTATGTTAAACCATTATTACTGAATGAACAAACGTGTTAAAGGAATGTATCAGAAGTATATTGAGTGTTGAACACTTTATATATAACACTAAATTTTCCAGCATACGAGGGTGGTCCGATAAGTACTTAGCCTCACCGCCCGATGGCGCCACTCTCGCAAAAGAAATATTCTATCACGTAGTACAACCTTCTCGATGGTTACTGTCAAGATTTCAGCCGGATCGGAGCTGTAGTTTATTTTTGAAAGTGTGTGAAAGCAAGTAGGCCTAAAAGCAAGTGTGTCCGTTGATTTTTGAAAAATGGAAAAAGAGCAGTATCGGTCGGTGATTCGATTCTTGTTTTTGGAAGGGAAATCGCGCAGCGAAATCAAAAAGCGCTTGGATGCTGTGTACGGTGACTCTTCTCCTTCGATGGCGACCGTCAAAAATTGGTTTAACGAGTTTTAACGTGGTCGCACGTCGATTTTGAAGAGCCACGTCCACGTGCTCCGAAAACGGCTACCACGGAGGATAACGTGACAAAAATTCACGATCTCGTATTGGCAGATCAACGATTGAAGGTGTGCGAGATAGCTAAGATCGTAGGCATCTCAAAAGACCGCGTGGGTCATGTCCTGCATGAAATTTTGGGCATGAGAAAGCTGTCAGCGCGATGGGTGCCGCGTTTGCTCACTCCGGACAACAAGCGCAACCGTGAGACAACTTCAGAGCAATGTCTGACGCTGTTTAAGCGCAATCCGAAGGAGTTTCTGTGTCGTTTCGTGACAGTCGACGAAACATGGATCCACTGGTATACATCAGAGACCAAGGAACAGTCGAAATAGTGGACTTTACCCGGCGAAAGTGCTCCGAAGAAGGCGAAGACTGCCCCATCGGCCAGAAAGGTGATGGCCACCGTTTTCTGGGATTCACAAGGTGTGATCTACATCGACTATCTGGAGAGGGGCAAAACGGTCACAGGGCTGTACTATGCTGAATTATTAGGCCGATTCGACGTCGAATTGCAGAAAAAACGGCCCCATTTGGTGAAGAAAAAAGTGCTCTTCCACCATGACAACGCACCGGCTCACACCTCCGCCGTCGCCATGGCCAAATTGGTCGAATTAGGCTACGAACTGCTGCCCCATCCACCGTATTCTCCAGATTTAGCCCCGTGCGACTTCTTTTTGTTTCCAAACTTGAAAAAGTCACTCGCCGGGCAGAAATTTGAGTCGAATGAGGGAGGAGGCAATCGCTGCCACGGAAGCCTACTTTTCAGACCTCGAGGAAACGTATTTTTTAGACGGGTTAAAGAAGTTGGAGCATCGCTGGGCCCAGTGTATCGAACTAAAAAGAGACTATGTTGAAAAATAAAACGCCACTTTTCCAAAATTTTCGTTTTTCTTTTGTAGGCTAAGTACTTATCGGACCACCCTCGTATATAACTGCTTTTTCGATTATAAAAATACAGGTCAATTAATTTAGAAATAGGCCGCAGACTTCAAAACAGTGATAAATTCTATAAACTTTTTCTCGAAATATTTGGCAATGATAATTCTATTCATATATACACAGATAGTAACAAAAGCGATTTCTGTCTATCATTAGGCACTGCGTGTATGTCCTGCACTAAACTTTATTAAAACAAGAAGTATAAACAACAAAGCTTCGATTTTTACGGTAGAATGCATGGCAATTGTAGACGCTATGGAGTTGGTATTGTTGCATACTAGTAAAAAGTATATATTTTCACTGACTCCCTTAGTGTTGTGCAATCCTTGAATAATCTAAAACATGAAGTCGAAATTAATTCTTACCTATTAGAAATTCGAGATAAATTTTTCAAATTACACAGAAATAGCGCTGGTGAAGGAATTCTTAATATTGTTATGTATTCTCCTCTGATTTCGAACGAAATACGTTGCTAAGCGATTTATTAGTTTTGTTCGTTTTGCTTGTTTTTGTTTTCTCAGTGTGTTTTTGTGTTGAGATGAAAAACATACATTTGTGGTTATTTAAATAAATACGTTCTCGTTCATTTTATAATAAAGTTATTGTTATTTTGTGTGAGTGTACGTGCGAGTGCAACAATATATATTGAATACCTGCTCATGTTGGAATAATAGATAATGAATTAGCAGACCAAAATGCAAAGAAAGCCGCAGCCGAACCTACTGCTGCGATTGAATGATTATAATGTTCAACACAAACACAAAGTCAAATTATATTTCCCAACTTTTTACAAACCTACCGCTAAACCATGGTTTTATGGATTAAAACTAAGTAGCGACCGAAGATTGTAACAATGTGTAGGACCTCGGTTACATATATCCGTACGCTTGCAGACGAATGCGGACGAATCACACGATTCCAGTGCAATCACTCGAAATTCCTAGTTCTAGTTACTAATATCAACAGCTACCACCGTACAACATTAAATATTATATAGCCTCTTCCGACATTGATGTAATGAAGGTCATACTTTATTTTCTTGATAAGTGTAGATTACGTATTTAATGTAAACCGAATGTTAATAATCCAAATGTTTAATGGAAAACATGTTAGTATACAGCCACTTATATAACTTATCTTTTGTAGAAAAATTTAATTTTTATTTTGTACAGCTAAATAACTTCATTTAAGTTAAAGCATTTATTAAAAAAAAAACATGCTTAAATATAGATTAATAGTCTACAAAAATTAACTTTACTCATTCTCAGAGCTGACAATATCTTTCGTGTGAAAAAATAAAATTTTGATACATGTGGTGTAAATTTACTTTCACAGAAAATTGTATTTGTATATTATCAAAAGTAAGCCAAGTAGTATAGCTCCTTACGTCACTCATCATAGTTCAAAATACTGGAAAACACTAGAGATCAATTTATTCAATGTTTTATGGTTGACAATCAAACTTTTAAAAAGAAATTGGAGTAATTTTATACCATTCAGTGATGGACCAATGAAATATATTGATTTGTATCAACTCACTTTAGTATGTCTTTTTAAATAACACAAATTTACTATTATTTTGTTATAAGTAAAAAATATATACTATAATGTGCTTAAAAATATTATTAACCAATACACTTAAAAAGTAAATACTTAAGGTAAATATCTATCTTAATGATATATTGAAAACAGATATTTTTCTTAGATCAATAAATGGATATAAAATAGAAGAATTACGCAATGATAGCAATTAAATAAAAAAATATTTTTCAACTAATATTATGAATAATTTAAATCATTAAATATGATATATTTATGAAGATTTGATTTTTATTTAAGACAATTATAATAGTATAATATTTAACATTACGTATTACACATACTACTGTAAAATATCTTTTATAAGTAATCTCACATAAGTTGCGTTTAAAAAATTTGAATAGTGTTAATAAAAAACATATATTATTTATATTTTATGTGATAGCTTTTAAATAATCTTCTGGACCTGGAATAAAAAATAAATTATATTAAAGAATAATTCATTCCTAATACAAAATTAAATATTATTAAGTGTACTAATACAAGAATATCTTACCTGAACCCATTTTCATGGTTTGATCTATGTAATATTCGACTAAAGCAATTTTCAACTTTTCTTCCATACTATTTACATCCTTTCCACTAAAAATCTTTTTCCTTTTAACATCTCCAAACCTAATCACCAATTGAATTCTATCATTATACTTCCATTTTAATTGTAATTTTATTTTAAGTCTTAATGAAGCTTCTCGAACTAAGCACCACAATGAATTAGATTTCTTGTTTATTACGTGTAAATCTCCAGACAAATATTGTACAAGATGTTGTTCATTAACCTTTATTCTCATTTTATTTGGTATTAAATTATTTACCTCTGCCATTAATGCAGCAAAAGCAACTTCTTTAACAATTCTATCTTGTGATGTAAGCATTTTAAATGCTTGTACAATTTTCATGATGTAAAATAGATCCATAAATGGAAGGTAATTATACTTAACAGTTAGAACTTTGTCCATCACATTTTGCTTGGTAGATAAAAGACTAAAGTCATTAATAAGTTTGTCCATATCTTCTTTCAGAGACTGTTTTGTACCTGCAACTTGGTAAACAATTGATCTTGGACTTGCATTTTTAGATAGATTCAACCAACATTTGAATCTATCCATCAAAAGTTCGTCTGCTTTTTTAAGAGAATCGGTAACTTTATCTTCTGTTCCAAATGCTATGGTTTCTGTACCTTGCAATCCTCTTAAGCAATTCTCAACGCGTGGAATAATATACATCAGAATAGATTCTACTTTTTGATAGAATTTCAATGAAGATTCATCAATAGCTTTTATATTTTTAATCATCTCTGGAATACTTGGGCAACTGTTTTGACCAATTGATAAACTTTGCTTAACTCCAAAGAATTCTTCAATTTTTTCTTGTAGCAAGGTACTTAATTTTTGTCCAAAAAAGGCAAACTTATTATTTGATCTCACTTTTCTCTCTTTGCCACAATAATGATAAGTTGAGCATTTATGAATGTTAAATTTCAACCCTAGTAATTTTGCATTTTTTTCTACCAGAATTAATAAATTCTGAAGCTTGCATGATGAATCAGCTATCAAAGTAAGTTCATGTGGAATGGCATAGTGATTGATTCTTTGTTTGTGAATTTCAAAAGTGTCATGTACTGCATTAGATAAATCTCTCAAAATAGGTTCAATTAACAAATCAAGAAGTATTGGATTGATAGGTGAACCTGGAGGCAAACCCTTAAAAATTGATATGGGCTTGGTAAAGCAAATATCAGAACTATCATCAGTTACCCTGAATTTTGTTTTTGAATATTCAAATATCTTTCTAATAATTTCAATAATAGAAAGAGGAACTGAGTGTTTAGTTAATGCATTCAGTATAGCAGATTGTGGTATACTTTCAGAAGCATTTTCAAAATCAAGCCAAGCAATGGCTAGATCTTTTTTTTCCTCTTCAGCAAATTTTTTACATTCTTGCAAAATAAAGCTACTTTCACAGGCAGCATTGTATACAAGAAATCCTTTCTGAGTTGCACTAAGCCTTCCAGTTTTATTGGCCCAAGCTGTTAATCTTACTGCAATGAGGCTTTGAAAAAGTTTTGATATAGTTCGTTCCATGGTGACTGGGTACCAGTTCTGTATATTTAATAAAGCCTTATTATCCATATTATTGCTTCCTGCATCATCACTGTCTAAATTACTATTTGTTTTTTTAACTAGAACTGAATAAAATTCCATCCATATTTCTGGAACAGTTTGAAGTTTCAAACAAGCATTGAAAAGACTTGTCATTTTAGAACAATCTGAATCATAAAAACGAAGTTGATCAAATTTGATTCTATCTAACCCAGGACTGCGTGAAGAACTCAAAAAATTGTGAATTTTTGATAATAATTTGGATCTTACTTCTTTAAGTGTAAATTCCTTTGTCAAAGTCAAATTTGCTATATCATCTGGCTTATTTTTTGGCCATAAAGACATTGGTATATTATCAATATTACATTGTGGTTTTACCATCAAAATATCTGCATAATACTTTTCAATTTTATCTGCACTAATTGGACAGTGCAATGTAGGGCCAATCAAAATCTCTTGAAGAGCTCTATGCTTTTGGCGTCTATACAAATCACTAAGTTTACATTTATTATCTTTATTAGATTTCTTTTGCTTATTAGGACCAGATTGTTTAGGTTTGGTCACAATTTTTTTTATATTGTTACAAACTTGTACTTGACTTTCAAAATATTTAGCTGCTTCATTCAGTTTCTCTTGATTTTCAATCTTAAGTGAATTAAAAATGTCTATAATTAATTTAGGATTGATACATTTTGGATCACGCTTCTTCTTCTTCATCTCATATGCCACTGAAAATATTTCAAGATAATTATTAGATAAAGCATATCTATAAAAAAAGAAAGTAATTATATATTGAAGAAAAGATAAATGAAGATCAATAATGCATAGGTCAATTGTATGTAGTATTGTTGTTCTATTAGTCAGATTAGATGTATAAATTTCAATATTTATAGCACATTTTACAATAATCATACTATATTAATTATAATTATTTATTATAATACATCACTGAATAACTGTTATAATTCGTGTGCGTCGTATCGGACACTCGTTTAGTCGACCTTGAAATTCACCACATTTGGGTGCACATCTCACTCTTGCAATTACAATACAATAACTTGTTTGCGTATAATCAACTCTTTTAAATTTATTATTCAAATATTAGATTGGCAGAGACGTAAAAGAGGACCACATACGGAATATTTTGTTAATAAAGTTATTTCGAGTCAAGTCGATCTGTCTTAACTTTCGTTTTTTTTTATTTGTTTAAGCTAATGTTATCAGAAAATGTTGAGTATATATGCATTATTAATGAAGTAGTAAAGATAAATTTTGAATTAGATAAAACAAAGCATTATTCTTTTGTTTTTCATTTAAGCTTATATATCATATTACAATGAAATTAGAAATGTCGCATTAACAATATAAAAGACATTCGAATAATTTGTTATAAGTAAATTGAATATGTAAACACTTACTGATTTTTCCCGTACCAAGTTTTTATGAGTAGGATGCAATTAAACAAAGGATGGCGTTCATGCGTAGACTCGTCGATTAACTTCTGAATCGTATCCGCTGCTCACTAAACGAAACAATCGTAGATATAGTAATGGATAATGTAACACTAATTTTTCGCAACTACGAAAATGCTGAAACTCGTTGAACTCTATTGTTACTTACGAGGAGAGAAAAACTCATTCAGAAATGAGAAACAAACTGCCGAGCCGATCGATACCGTACACTGCTTATATATGAGCAATAAGATAAGCACTTATGCGCTGATAAATACATATAGTATATGCTGACATATACAGCATATAATGTTGAGTTCGCTGCTTTCTTTGGGTTTTGCTTCTTGACTACTCTCGGATTGTGAAGTGCGTCTATATGTACACATATACCTATTGTATTATCCGAGCTTGCCGGTTGCTGATTCGTAACTCGAGCGCTTTCAAAACAAAACAATTGCGACTCGGCAACAGCGTAAAAATGACGCCGCTTTCCAATTCATATCTGATCCTTAACCTTATTAAAATTAGATATAATTGACGACATTAATTGATAGTCCAGACTTCCGTAAAGGTACCGATGCGAAAACAGCCCTACACAAATAACATTTTATAAAAAAAAATGATCACATCTCACGTATGTCTAATTGTACTTCTCGCAAAAATAATTATTTGTTATTGTACCATTATATTTCTCATAAAAAATAAAAAATATCGTTATCGATAATTCACCTCCTATTTATTCACATAAAAGACATAATTAAGCAAAAATAAATTCACAGAAAAATTGTACCTTCTGTAGTCTAAATTGCACCATCAGTACAATTCTATAAATTTGTTTCTAAAAGAAATAATAGGACAATTACAAATTACCACTAATTGTTACAACTTACAAGGATGTCATCCGGAAATGCACTTTGCGCAGGCGTAGAGCTTTGTAATTGTACAATAATAAATAATTATTTTTTCGAGAAGTACAATTAGACATACGTGAGATGTGATCATTTTTTTTATAAAATGTTATTTGTGTCGGGCTGTTTTCGCATTGGTCGTAAAGGTGCCGAAAAGGGAACTAGGAAGTTTTTCCTGTAGTTAGGAACTAGAAAGTTTTTTCCGTAGTTAGGAACTAGGAACTTTTTTCCGTAAGTGAAAACGTATGCGGCAACATGTTTTTTCACTCAGGTGGAAAGGGTTGACATTGTGATTAATTACGTGTAGCCTGCGAAAAAATTCTTTACTTTTCCAAACGTTTGCGCTTGTGTTGAATAAAGTTTAGTAAAAGTTGTCCCGTGAAAAGATATTAAACTTGATTGTTCAGTTCATTTCTTCAGATAAAGTTATTGAGAAATACTTTTACTAAATTTTCGTTGATGACTCGTAAATAAAGTTTTATCATAGTTTGGCCAAATCTTATTCAACTTTACTCAATTATATTTGCGTAAATTTGCGAATAAAACGGTAAAAGTTGAATTTCAAAATAATAGACAAAAGTTTGGTAAAAGTAATCCTGAACTTTAACCGAAGAGACCAATTTCCAAGTTCCAATAACCAAGTTCGGCAAACGTTTGAGAATAAAAGTTAAAATTTAGAAAGTTAAAAATGGCCAGTTAATTCTACTTCATGTTATCTTAAGAAAGTCAAGAGATATCTTGTAAGATATCTTTAACTGTCAAAGATATCTTTTAATACATAAGTGACTGTCCATTAAATTGTTGACGCCAAGATATCTTGAACGATATCTTTATGCGTTTGATAAGAGAGTATATAAATAAAGTCAACATCAAGACTTCTTTTGTTTTATTTTGAACGTAGGATATAGATTTTAAATTTTGTAATAAAAAAAAACTAAAATAAATTTAATAATTTTTATTAATGTATTGTTACATCATACATACTATATTAGTTTTACAACATTGTTTTACATTATTTTTACAATCAGTCTATTTATTACGCGATCAAAAAACTCATATCAACAGCGAATGAATTACACCAGTAGAATTATTAAAAATTTCAGTGATAACGCTTGTAATACAAATTTTAATAGCATTAATATTTTATATTCATATAATTTCATAGTACGCTTAAAAAACTCTGAAAAAATAATTAAACTATAAATATTGAAAAACTCGTGAGCTAATAAAATCGTATTACAGCTTGAATTCGAAGATGATCGATCAGTAACTGTTTAAATACGATCACGTTGTTGTTGCTTCTGTTGTTTTCTTTCCATCTGTTTATGGGTACTGGAGATCCTGTCTGATGCTCTTATCCAATCTACCATGAATTTATTCATCTGAATTTGATCTTTTAATTCACTATATGTTTTTGCAAATATTCTGAACAAATATTTGTTATTTACAGACACAAATGAGTAGTCATTTTAATTGCGAAGACAGGTTATTCTAATATTTATCAACAAGTAACATTATTTAAATATGTTTTTCTGTCATTTATTGTTTATCTGTTATATGTTTATCTTCCATATATATGTCTAGATGAATAAATCATGTTGTTGAAAATACACTACATACATCGATATTCATTGACAAATAAAAATAGAAATTGCACCCATTTTTTTACAAAAACCGATTAAATTTTACTTATTTCAAGATGTACCGGGAAAGTTATTTAAAAGACTATAATTAAACCTATGATTGATAAAATATACTTAATGAAATCAGAAATGATAATTTATCTTTTTAGAAATTCCAATTAGTATGTTAATATTCAATGAATCTATTTGAATATACGTATATTATAGAAATCTATATTTACATTTTAGATCTATATTTACTAGCAAATTAAGCTTCAACCTTAATGAAATGTGTTTGTTGGTCGGTGAAATATTTTTCAAATCTATAGTAAAAAAAATAGACATGTGTGTCGCATGATACAACAAATTTTATCTAATTTTAGAATGTTGGTAAATTTTAGAATCGCAGCTAAACAGTACGGGTATCAATAGGGTCATTGGTGATACAGGGAACAAATTTTCATTCTGATCAATAATTTGTTGGCTCTTCTGTTCACTCTCGACATCATTCGAAATGCTGTTTGTGTTACTGAAATCGTCATCACTGTCTTGGCAGTCGCTTTCCTAGTTTTCTACCTTAAGCATAACAAAATATACAATAGCAATATATAATATATCCTACAAATAGAAGTAGAAAAAATGAGTTTTAGTTAACGAAAAATTCGTGCAACTATACTTTCTATGTACGAAGATTTTCTACATTTCGTTCAATTTTTGTTATATCTACGCATCTATATATTTGTCTTTTTTTTTTCTTAAGTTTCGCATTAGTTCTCGTAAAGCACTTGCACTAATCGAGTAACAATACATACATGTGGCGATGCAACGAAAAGTAAGTGCTGAACACAAAATCTATACGTACACGTAGGTACAGTGCTCGCCAGTCATCCACTATATACACACATGTCACTAAACGTTTATCACATTTCTAATTTAGTCTCGATCACTAATGAAAATTATCAGTTCTTCTTTTCTTTATATCGAGTTTCTCTTTAAACAGATAAGTATGACCGAAAGACAAAATAAAACTTAATACTACGATAAGATAACCAAGAAATTATTATATTAACTTGTTGACTTTGTTTTATTTCATGTAAATTGAATTAAAATGCTTTTCTTTCTCCTTTTTTCAGCACTAGCTAGCCATCTTAAAATGAATATAAAGTGATGTACGTACCGTAATCGAACTTTGGAAAACTTTGGAGAATTGAGAAGCTCGTCGTCGTCAACGTCCATATCGTAACAATTTATTGTAATATTCATTCGAATGAGAGCTTGCCTTGTAGTCACCGTTTCGGTCGTCGGACTATAAATATTATACCGCATTATAATTTATTAGTATGATTCGGAAAATAACACCAATCAATTTATACTATGGTTACTTTAAGCACTGCACTTCCCCCTAAGAGTGTTCCTTCTTTCCCAGCATTGACATCACTCTTAGTAGGAAAAGATGGTTATCTCGTGTGACTTTCTATCCTTGCTTCGTTCGGGCGTAAACGCCACGCAAGAAACTATCTACTTCCCCGCATTCTATCGTAATTGTACTGTGCATGTATATTTGATTTTTTTTTTCAAGTCCAACTGCAGCGAGTAATGTCAGAGACTGTTAACGATCAATGACAGTGAGTGATTGCGCGCTATCTAATTTGGAACTTAAACCCTTGAGTAAAAAACGTACTCTAGTGGCAAAATTTTCGTACTGATAGTATGGAAAAACTAATGGCCAGAAGAACATTATGAATGTTGATGATTTTGTGTCCGAGAAAGAGGACGATGATGTAACGACAACTATAGCCGTGGCAGTATGTAATAAAATTATTGAATCGTTGACCTAAAAATTAGGCGATTTAAATATTTTAGATAATTCTAAGCAAATTTTACTGTGAGTAAGGAAAAAGTCCAATTCAGGTATATTAAAATAATTATCATTTAATTTTCATATCAAACCGAAACAATCAGCCCTACGTGCAAGTCATAATTAATTTCAATGTAATTTAGTTTAGGGTTGATAATTTAATAAGCTGATAAATATTATAGTTAATTTTCATGTTGAGAACCAATTATTTATTATCAAGTATAAATATCGTATAATGTTTTATACTTTATATGAGGAAAGATACTCTATTCTTATTAACAAAAGTGTGCCAAAAGTTCTTTAAGTTAAAATATACTTTGAAATAAATTTACTTTTTGTTGAAAAATACTGATTGTATTCACAACTTTGAATAAAATAAAATAATAAATATAACATTTTCTATAACTAACCTTTTTAATTGTCCCTTTAATGAGTTTCACCTGCACAAGCACCCGAACACGGGCTTGCAGATCGAAAAGTTTTTGTAGGCGAGCCAATTGCTGCTACGGCCGAGGGTTTTGTTCGTATTGCGAGACTGCAAGAGCTTCGGCATTCGCTCCTCACGGTGCCTCAGCTCTTACGCTATCACGCGTTACAAACATTAACTCGGCCGTAACTGCGCTTGTCCCGCCTATATAAATACCTATTGGCGAAGACGTATTCGACTAAATTGGTTGTATACGACGCAACTGCACATTGATTCTTTTTAGTTTTTTATGAAATTTGATAGTACGATAGATATTATGAAAGATGATAAGCAACGAGTGAAGCGAGCGTCGAGGTTCTTATATTCCGCGATGAAAACATTTTCTTTTCCGGTGTGAAGGTGCTCGAATTGCGCTGCTGATGCTTAAAAAATTTTTTATTTCTGGTAAGGCTGTACGAGGCTTGGGTTTTTAGATACGAAAAGCAATCGGTTGGCAAATGAGTCGTATACAACGCAACTACGCACAATTTATAATATATTAAGTCTAATAAATAACATTTTTGGTTTTCAAGTCTTTTATTAAGAACACTGCCGATACTA